GGGGGGGCGGGGCGGGGGCGGGGCTTCGTGAGCAGAGGAGCGTAAGCACGAGCGCCGCTCGCGGGCACCCGCCCTGCCTGGTGCTCCCGCCTCCCGCCCAGGCTCCTGGGCTCCCGCCCGCGCCCGTCGCCGGCGCTGCGCCGGGGACGCGGGAGCGCGGCGCTCCCGTGCGTGTGCATGTTCGTGGGGCAGTGCCGCCCTCGGGCGCGCGCAGGTCGGGCGCTGCGCCTGCGGGGCTCGCCCACGGCTCCAGGGTGGGGGTTCCGGGCACCTTAGCCCTTCGCGCACGCTGGCAGAGGCTCGGACACGAGGTTTCGGACGTTGTGTCTTGGCTGGTGTTGCTGGCGTCTTATGTGTATTGGGAGAATGATAGGCGCTCGACAAACGTTAGCAAAGCAAATGAATAAAATGCCATCTTTCATTTGGAATGTGAGGGGTGACCCGAGTCACCCAGGAGAAAGGGAACACCCATAAAGCTGTGGATCCAGCCAAACCTGTGCCCCCGCTCCCGCATTTACCCGAACACTCTGAAATCTCGGGGGCTGGAGTCCCTCGCTCTTTTGTGGCAGTGGTGAGATTGGACTTAATTTCATTTGAAGCTTCCTCAGAGAACTCTGAGAACAGCGCTGTTCTTAACATCCCTGTTCAGCAAAAGTAATGGCTCTGTTAGTGTTCAAAGCATGTCTTGTTCCTTCTGATGGTGTGGCTGGGCTTGTGTCTGGCATATGGGGACCTGGGAAGTCCCTTCCGCTCCTGGGGTTTTCTCTTCACCCAAACATAGGAAGCGGGACAGCACTACCGCATGTCCTTGGAGTTGCTTATGCTGCTTTATCATACCTGCTTTAACAGCGTTTCACAAAAGCACGCATGATTTGACATCTAAAAATTAGAATAGGACCTTCCTCTTGTCTTGTGCGATGATTACGTAGCAAACATTTAAGAAATAATATCATTGGCTGTGTTCAATTCTAAAGAAATTCTAGAGGGTTTCAGTTGATTTTATAATTGACATTCGTTTCAATGTTCTGAACGATAGATAATTTTATGCACATCCGTTTTGATGTTCACAAAAGCCATGGCATTTAGGACGTCTGCTGAATGAAAAAGGACAGCATAGACCAGTTTTAGGGGTCAGACATCCAGTTCCAATATTAGGTACATTGTTTAGCTTCTCTAAACCTCACCTTCTTATTCTCTGAAATGGAGATAAAGGAAGCACCTAATAGAGCAGTTGCACGGATTAAATGAAATAACGCTTGGTTAAGTGCCTAGCTCAAATATTAGCTCCATGATGTTAAATGACCTGCCCACTCTCCATAGATAGTGGGTTTAAGTGGCGGGGCAGGACCGGAACGGCCGAAGTTCATGCTGGCACCGGATCCCTATGTAGCCTCCTTCCCTCTAACGCCACGGCTGGGCCTGTTTATTCCTATTTACACAGATTTTAAGATTACACTTCAATCCTGATTTGTATTTAAAGGGGATGATAATAGTACTGTATCATAGGGCTATGCTATCAAGCAACAAGGTTGCGACTGCCTGTACCAGTGGTGGGCGTGGCTAGCACTTCCTTATGGTTCATCGTCTGCTACCGTTCCCCATTCTTCCATACCACGTACTTGCCGAGGTTCACGAACTCAGTCTGCGTGTGTTGTCTGCCTCCTCATGTAAAGACAGTCTGTTTGCGTATGGCTAGGTAAAGTCTTCCCAGCACCGGACTCATCTGAGGAAATGAAAATAGTTCGGAAGAGATCTCAAGCACTAGACTGCACTTCCCAAGTGACAGATTCCTGACATCTAGGCGTCAATTAACCCTCTTCTCTCATTCGTTTTATGGGCTCTGCCCATCTGTTCCTTGCTTCATGAGGATCACGGGTCTGAGGCTAAATTAAAAGGGCAACTCCATGGGAAGGCAGAGGGAGGGAATGGGAAACCATACAGGAAGGGCCTGACCCGGACCTGGCACTTTGCCTGGTCACCAGCCTTAACTCGGCATTGTGCAGCACTCATTAGGCCGTCGATAAATATTGGTGACAGGTAAGTGACAACCCAGAAGTCGATACCAAGGAGAGTTACAAGGGCGCATTGTGGGACTGATGAGGAGGGGGAGGTGAGGGCCTTCCTGAAATGCACCAACCTGAGGCCCTTGAAGGAAATCTCTCTCTCCCACTATCACTGTGTGGATTTCTCTGTCCAAGTACTTGGCTGGGAGCCCCTTATGTCTCCCCTGGGATGCCCACAGACCCCTCCTGAGTGGAGCCTGCTTCTAAGAACTGTGAGGCCTGATGTATGGGGTCTGTGGTATGGAATTTGAGGTGCCAGGGCCTAGGGTGGTGATGGAGCAGCTCCCAGAGACCTTTGGAAGTGTTAGATCATTGGGGTTCTCACAGTTGGGGCGGGGGGGAGGCTGATTTCTCTATCACACCGACCTTGGGCCCTCTGACTGGTTTTGACCAGTGGAAGATGGGCAGACAAGAGAATGAGTGAGTTTGGAGCAGAGGCTGGGAGAAGCAGTGTGTTCTGCTGTGACTCTTGTGCTTGTGTGGTCCACAGTGAGAGGACCATGCCCACGATGCTACTGCCTCTACCGCCTGGGCCCCTCAATGACAGGCACACCTGGGAGAATGAAGCCGATCCAGAACCTGAGCCTGGGCAAGCCCAGCCTGATCGGCAGATCCGTGAGTGAGAAATAAACACTTGTTTTGTAAGTCCCTGGGAGATTGTGTTTTGTGATTTGCTATCCCAGCAACACCTGATATGCCTACACAAGGAAGAATGTCCCATCAAGGGCCAACAAGCAACCTGTCCTCCTTGCTCTGAGAACACTGGCTACAGTAAATGAACAGTAAATATATCCAATCCCTAATAACACAGAGGTAGGAATACACACATTCAACAAATAATCACATGCATAATTATAGAACTGCGCATTGTAACGCATGCTTTAATAAGTTAGAAAGCATAAGATGTGATGGAAAAGAGGAACTAATTTTGACTGAGAAATCAATAAAAGTGTCTGCAAAGATACACATTGAAGGTCTGAAGGATGAAGGATAGGCAAAGAGGGGAGACAGCATTTCGGGCACAGGGGGAAACACTCTGAACGAGCAGGTGGAAGGAGCTAGGTGTGCCTGAGGCTCTGACAGAGTGCCAGTCACTGTCCTGCAGACTGGAGCACAGTGAGCATGGCCTGGGTCAGTGGGAACGGCAGGGCCCGGCACGTTCAGGAACTTGTAGCTGCAGTGAGGGGTTTGGCTTTTACACTAAGCACAGTGCGAGCCATCAGAGAGGGTTTTTCTTTTAAACTAACATTTACTTAGGTAAATGTATTAGTCTCACGACTAGAATAGATTAGGCCCATGGAACGCAGACATGGACTTTGAATTTCAAATACCTCCAATGGTGAGACCACTCATGTAAAACTCTTGCCATAGTTTAGGTTGTGGGGGATGTTTTAAATACAATCAAGTGAAATACTAGCCTTCGTTATCTAGCAATAGGAAAAAAAGTTAACAATTTACTCATGACATTTACTTTTAAAAAATGTTTATTGGGGCGCCTGGGTGGCTCAGTTGGTTAAGCGCCCAACTGTGACTTTGGCTCAGGTCACGATCTCACAGTTTGTGGGTTCAAGCCCCGCGTCGGGCTCTGTGCTAGCAGCTCAGAGCCCAGAGCCTTCTTCAGATTCTGTCTCTCTTTCTCTCTCTGCCCCTCTCCTACTCACTTCTATCTAGCTGTCTCTCAAAAATAAACATGTTTATTTTTGAGAGAAAGCTGGGGAGGGGCAGAGAGAGAGGGAGACAGAATTTCAAACAGGCTCCCCCCGGTAAGCACAGAGCCCTAAACGGGGCTCAATCTCAGGAACCTTGAGATCATGAACTGAGCCAAAATCAAGAGTCGGAGGCTTAACCGACTGAGCCACCCAGGCACCCCATGAAATTTACTTTTAAATAAAATACATTTTTTAAACACTATCCTAAGTAGTATAATTTCAGTCAAACTTCCATTTGACTGCTGTATGCTTGCTGTTTCTGGATCAGTAGAAGAAACTTGTTGATTAACCACAATGAAAATACTATACACTATCTAAAAACCAAATAAAAAGAAAACAAATTACTAATAAGACTCACATTTACAGAATATACATTTGTAAAACATCATCCTAAGAAGTTTCATTGGAGCTATTCAATAGGTACTTAAATAATAGCAGTGGAACTGAAAAAGGAAAAACAAACTTATTTAAAAAAAATTTTTTTTTAATGTTTATTTTGGGGAGAGAAAGAGAGACAGGGCATGAGCAGGGGAGGGGCAGAGAGAGGGAGACACAGAATCTGAAGGAGGCTCCAGGCTCTGAGCAGTCAGCACAGAGCCCGACACGGGGCTCAAACTCACCAACCACGGGATTGTGACCTGAGCCAAAGTTGGATGCTTAACCGACTGAGCCACTCAGGTGCCCCCAAACTCAAACTTATTTTAGAAGAAGGAGGGGTAGCTGGGTGGCTCAGTCGGTTAACCATCCAACTTCGGCTCAGGTCATGATCTTGCAGTTCATGGGTTTGAGCCCCACATCGGGCTCTGTGCTGACAATTTGGAGCCTGGAGTCTGCTTTGGATCTGTGTCTCCCTCTCTCTCTGCCCCTCCCCCGTTTGTGCTCTGGCCCTCTCTCCCTCTCTCTCTCTCTCTGTCTCTCTCAAAAATAAATAAACCTAAAAAAAAAATTAATGGAAAGAAAGAAATATTATTGCTATGTTTCTGGATTATTTTAGTGGTCTCCTTAAGAAAAAAAAATACTGTAATTACATTACCTACAAATAGAATAAAATGGGAGCAATTAATTTTTAAGAGTCACATTCAAATATAGAACATTATTCTAAGAAGCATAATTATATCAAACTTCCATTTAGGCCTTAAATAGTCCCTTAATTAATAGCAATAAAACGAAGAGACAAAAAAGCAAAGTTACTTTAGTAGAAAGGGGGAAAAGTACCTTGTTTTTGTTCTATATCTTCAGAAGTATGCATTTGGGAAGATATGGTCTACTTAAGATGTGATTTACTTCTGTTTTCTGGTTTTGTGGACAGAAGATTGAATCCAGCACTTGGTGTAGACATTTCTTGTTGCTAATTTCGGACGTGCTGGCCAGGGAAGTCGCTTGGCAGAATGAATTTCTGGAGAGGTTTGTTCTCACTTTCTAGAAGAAGGACATAACAGGGTATTCTCTTCTCAGAAACTGCCCCCTAAGACTTCTCTGTCACATCTGAACTCTGAAGGAAGAGTCTGGGCCAGCAGCTCCTCTTTGAGGTGGGAGAGTTAAGTCAAGAAAAAGTTCTGAATATCTGCTCGGGCAAGGTGCACAAGCACAAGTGTGCCTTATATTTGTGGAGGAACCCCTGTATAAGGATGGGATTGGCTGAACAGAGGGATCCTCCCAGTGTGGGTTTGAACCTGATGAAACATCAGGTCTACCTGGACAGCAGACCCTGGATCCCCATGGCGAGACAGCCCGTTGCTTCTCCTTTCTCTGAAATCTGGTCATCCAGAGGGTTCCTTCATAATCTTCTTGGGTTAACATCAGAAGGAGCTGGGTGAACTCTTTATGGGAACATTCTGTACTAACTTAACCAGTCTCTGTAAATAGTGTATTATTTCAAAACAGACAGTTTTTCTGTATCGGTAATTTTTTTTTTCTCTGACTACTTTCAAGATTTTTTTCTTCGTTTTAGTTTTTATTTAGCATTTTGATTAAGGCATTTCTGGGTATGGAGTTCATTAAGTTTATTCTATTTGGGATTCATTGAGCTGCTTGAATCTGTGGGATTCTATCTTTCTCTAAATTTGGGTAGTTTTGGGGCGCCTGGGTGGCTCAGTCGGTTAAGCGGCCGACTTCGGCTCAGGTCACGATCTCGCGGTCCGTGAGTTGGAGCCCCGCGTCGGGCTCTGTGCTGACCGCTCAGAGCCTGGAGCCTGTTTCGGATTCTGTGTCTCCCTCTCTCTCTGCCCCTCCCCTGTTCATGCTCTGTCTCTCTCTGTCTCAAAAATAAATAAACGTTAGAAAACAAATTTTTTTTATTTGGGTAGTTTTCTGCTAGAACTGATAAACAACTTCAGTAAAGTCACAGGATACAAAAGTCAACGTACAGGAATCTGTTGCGTTTCTATACATCAAATGAATGAAGGAGTAGACAGAGAAATTAAAAATACAATCCCATTTACAACTACACCAAAAATAATAAGACACCAAGGAATAAATATAAAGAGGCGAAAGATCTGTACTCTGAAAACCAAAAATACTGATGAAATAAGTTAAAGATGACACATAGAAATGGAAAGACATTCCATGCTCATGGATTAGAAGAATAAGTATTGCTAAAATTTCTAGACTGCCCAAAGAATTCTACACATTTAATGCAATCCCTATCAAAATACCAAAGCTGGAGGCATCACAATTCTGGACTTCACGTTATTTTACAAAGGATGGTACTGGCACAAAAATAGACACATGGATCGATGGAACTGAATAGAAAACCCAGAAATAATCCCACAACTATACAGTCAATTAATCTCTGAAAAAAGCAGGAAAGAATATCCAATGGGGAAAGGACAGTCTCTTCAATAAATAGTGTTGGGAAAAGTGGACAGCAGTAAACAAAAGAAAGAAACTGGACCACTTTCTTACACCATCCACAAAAAATAAATTCAAAATGGGTTACAGACCTAAATGTGAGCCCTGAAACCATAAAAATCCTAGAAGAGAGCAAAGAGAGTAACCTCTTGACATCAGCTGTAGTAAAATTTTTTCTAGATATGTCTCCTGAGGCAAGGGAAACAAAAGCAAAAATAAACTATTGGGACTACATCAAAATAAAATCTTCTTGCACAGAAAAGAAAACGATCAACAAAACAAAAGGGCAACCTACAGAATGGGAGAAGATATTTGTAAATGACACATCTGATAAAGGGTTAGTATCCAAAATCTATAAAGAACTGGTAAAACTCAACCCCCCCTCTAAAACAAACAAACAAACAAATAATCCAATTAAAAAATGGGCAGAAGACACAAACTGACATTTATCCAAAGAAACATCCACATGGTCGACAGACAAATGAAAAGATGTTAATTGTCACTTACAATCAGGGAAATAATGCATATCAAAACTACAATGAAATATCACCTCACACCTGTCAGAATGGCTAAAACCAAAAACACAAGAAACACCACATGTTAACAAGGATGTGATGAAAAAGGAACACTTTTGCACTGTTGGTGGGAATGCAAACTGGTGTTGCCACTCCGGAAAACAGGATGGGAGGTTCCTCAAAATGTTAAAAATAGAGCAACCCTAAGATCCAGCAATCACACTTGTAAGTATTTACACAAAGAATACAAAAACAGTAATTGAAAGGGATACATGCACCTCTATGTTCGTAGCAGCATTATCTACAATAGCCAAGGTATGGAAACAGCCACGTCTATTAACTGGTGAATGGTGTAGAAGATGTGGCAAATATACACAGTGGAATATTATTTGGCCATAAAAAATAAAGAAATCTTGCTATTTGTAATGACATGGATGGAGCTAGAGAATACTATACGAAGTGAAATGAGTCAGAGAAAGACAAATATCATATGATTGCACTCACATGTGGAATTTAAGAAACAAATGAGCAAAGGGGGCAAAAAGAGAGAGAAAGAGAGGCAAACCAGGAAGCTGACTCTT